TGGTATATTCCCATTATTCCAAGGTTTAAGCGTCTATTCTCAACACCAAAAGACGCTAAAAACTTGAGGTGGCATGCAGAGAGAAGAAAGAAGAACAGAATGCTGAAGCATCCAGCAGACTCCCCGCAATGGAAGAACATTGATATGAAGTTTGGGGAATTTGGTGATGAAGTCAGAAATTTAAGGCTTGGATTGTGCACGGACGGGATGAATCCATTTGGCACTCTTAGTACCTAACACAGCACATGGCCAGTACTTTTAGTGATCTACAATTTGCCTCCTTGGTTGTGCATGAAGCGGAAATACGTAATGCTTTCACTTTTGATAACGGGGCCAAGGCAACCTGGAAACGAAGTAGATGTTTATCTTGCACCACTTGTTGACGATTTGAGAAAGATATGGAAAGAAGGGGTTCCCGTTTTTTATGCTCATAAGAATGAGATGTTCACATTGCATGCAGCTCTTATGTGGACCGTTAATGATTTTCCTGCATATGGCAACTTGTCTGGGTAAAAGAACAAAGGAAAAAAAAGCATGCCCCATTTGTATTGATGACACACCAAGCATTCGCCTTGATCATTCTCACAAAGAGATGTACGTGCCCGGACCAGAAGGTTGCTCAGGCGCGATCACCCATACCGTAGGCAGAAAAAGGCTTTCGATGGGACAGTGGAAGAGGGGACTGCGCCTAGGCCGTTGACTGGTGGGGAGATTTATGCTCGAGTTAAGGGTATAAGAACAGTATTTGGGAAAACAGAAAAAGCTGCGAACTCAACTGCTCTCTTTAAAGAAGAATCAATCTTTTGGAAGCTTCCGTACTGGAAAGAACATGACGTTAGGCACTGTCTTGATGTAATGCATATAGAGAAGAATGTGTGTGATGCTCTTGTGGGAACGTTGATGAATATTCAAGGCAAAACAAAGGACGGTAAGGGTGCACGGTTAGATTTGAAAAAGATGGGGGTTCATCCAGAATTGTGGGCTCAGGAAAAGGTTAGAAAGGGAAAGGAACAGGAAACAGAAAAATGAAATGAGTTCGAAAAAAGGAAAGGGGAAGAGCAAGGAAAAGGGAAAGGCCAGGGATGCGCCGAAGAAGAAATATAAGGGAAAAGCCAAGGATGACAAGGCTTATTTACCTCCGGCTTGCTACACATTGTCAAGGGTAGAAAAAGGAATGTTTTGTGCATGTCTGTACGGCATTAAGGTTCCATCAGGGTACGCATCTAACATGAAAAGATTTGTATCCTTAAATAGAGAATTGAAGCTGACAAGTATGAGATCCCATGATTGTCATGTTCTGATGCAAGTATTCCTACCAATTGCAATACGTGGTATTTTACCAAAGCACGTGAGGGAAGCTATTACAAGCCTCTGTTCATTTTTCAATACAATATGCAGCAAAGTGCTTGATCCTTGTACACTTGATGCTTTACAGGTGGATGTGGTTGTGACTTTGTGCAAATTTGAGATGTACTTCCCACCCTCATTTTTTGACATAATGGTGTATCTTATTCTTCATTTGGTGCGTGAGATTAAGTTGTGCGGTCCAGTGTTCATGAGGTGGTGCTATCCTTTTGAAAGACACATGGGTACATTGTAATATATGGTAAGGAATCGGGCTCACCCGGAAGGAAGTATGATTCAAGGGATCGTGGGTGAAGATATTGGTAATTTTGTGGCTGACTATATAGCCGTTGCTGAATCTATTGGTCTTCCTACTTCTCGACACGAAGGGAGACATGATGGTCAGGGCACAATTGGGTCCAAACAAATGTCACCTGACCGAGATAAGTTCTTACAAGCACACTTATATGTGTTGCACCATGTTGCAGATGTTCACCCATACTTAGATGAGCCCATGGCTAGTTTGCGTGATGAATTCCCATCGAAAGGTGAAAGGGCATTGATATAGTTGCATAATAAGAGGTTTGTGAGTTGGTTTCGTGATCGAGTGATGGGTAGAATGGATGAGAGTGTCACTGATACAGTAAGGTGGCTTGCTTATGGTCCTAAGGATGATGTTCACTCATTTGAGGGATATGACATAAATGGGTACACTTTTTGGACTGAGTGTCAAGATTTGAAATCTTCCTCGACCCAAAACAGTGGTGTAACACTTGTGGCATCGTCAAGGGAGTTTGCAAGTGCTAAGGATAAATCACCCGTTGATGTAGAGTTGTCATACTATGGTCGAATTCAAGAAATATGGGAGCTTGATTATTGTAACTTCACGGTTGCTCTTTTCCAGTGTAAGTGGGTTGATAATATCAGGCGTAACGTCAAATATAATGACTTTACTCTTGTAGATCTTGGCCATCTGAATGATAGTGCGGAACCATTCATCCTTGCATCTCAAGCTAAGCAAGTGTTTTACGTAACTGACCTAGCCGATTCAAAATGGTTTATTGTGCTAGCCGGAAAAAGAAGAATCCTAGGCATTGGAGATGTCGAGGATAAGGAAGAATATGATGCGTTTGATGACTCGACACCTTTCACTGTTCCTAGACCTGTTGTAACAAATGACATAGACGACCAAGCCAATTATATGCGATCAGACCACAACGAAGGAATATTAGATTGAGGTAATATTTTTCAGCAATTTTGAAATTATAGGCGTTGAAAGTATTATTAAATCACAGTTTAGGTGAAAATGAATGAAAGTGTTAACTTAATTGCCCATTTTTCACATTTTCTTTTAAATGAATGAAGTAACGTTTAAAACATTTGAAATACGGAATAAAAACGACCTACACTTGCCCATTTTGTATGTTGATTTGTATTATAATTCAGCAATTTATATTTGATTATAACTTTACCTTACAAATTTATTTATATTACAATTAATAACGTGTTATGTTTGTAATGGCAGGTGTTTACATCTCAAGGCGGACGATCAGCCGTATTTATGTCGAGGATGTAGAGGATGATGATGATAATTTCTCTGACGATGATGGCGAGCTGTATGATGTGAACAAGGAGCCTGATTTGGGTGAGGCAGAAGATCAGGCTCAGGATGAGTTGGAGCGTAGCCTTGATGACTTTAAGATTTCAGCTGAACAAGCGCCTCCTATCGACAATGCAGTTTCTAAGACGGTTGGTGAGAATCCTACTTCCCACACTCAAAGCCAAGGACAAAGTGGAGGGGGGGGGGGTGAAGGCACCAGCTAAGAAAAAGGCGAGGGGTCCGACGACAAGTTTCAAGAAACCCGTCGGTTCCATGGCCCTGGAGTATGACGAGGCAGGCCAACCTACAGGAAAATGGCGTCGTCAATATGTTGTTCACGTTGGCATTTGTGCGCGCAAAATCCCCATTACTCTTGGTTGGCGGGATGTATCTCCAGGCTTGATTGACACATTTTGGAATGATACAAGGGCAAGTGTTTTGTTTGCACACAATTATAAATACCTTCACTTTATTGTTATTTAAAAGGGAAAACTAATAATCGCTTTTATTTGTGCTTGCAGAGTGTGTTTAACATTCCTAATGATGCCGCCAAGCGAAGGGTGTTTGAATCTTTACTGGCGGAAAGATTCAGAGGCTTCAAGACCACCTTAGTTTGTATGTGGATCACAAAGACAAGGGTGAGAAAACCAAAGAACAAGAAAAGAGGTGGCAATGATGATGAAGTCATCGAGGAAAAGCAACTCCCATGGCAAAAATGGTCAAGCGTATCGAAGGATTATTGGGAAGCTTTCGTTCTTCAAAAAAGTAAAAAGGAAGCAATTGTAAGTTTAAGTAAATCTGATGACAATTATATAATATATTAACTCTTTTTTAAGTAATGATACTAACATGTCTAATTATGTAGGAATTGAGGGAGCAAAATTCCAAAAATGCATTGCAGAGGCAATACACCCATCGTATGGGGTGTAAGACATTTGGTGAATGGAGGGAAACGTGGGTGAAGGAGGGAGTATACCCCACTGCTCTTCTAGGGTTCTCCAAAGAAGCCTCTGATTCCACGACCACTACGTTGGTGAGTCGTGCTGGCGATTTCATTTGTTCTCTGCATTCGCGTGACAAGAAAACCGGAAAATGGGTCATCAACGTTCCGGAAACCAAATAAATGGCAGATAAACTCGTAAGCAACTATGAACTAGTGAACTTTATGAAGCTTTTGCATAAATATCACTTTACAAAAACATTAACTATATTCAGGTTGCCTTTTTGTTTTCGCTACAGCTTGAGTATACTGAAGAACTGGTTGAAGGCAAGCTCGTCCTAGCAAAAGAGAAGGACCCTTTCACCTTGGCTTTGGGAAAGCCCTACCATCCAGGACGGGTATTAGATGCGGGAGGGACCTTGCTAGGATGGGAAAAGGTGATCGGTCCAGAATATAACAAATTAGGAAGATCTCGAGCAAGTGTGAACTCCCCACATGACTTGGATGCCACGGTGGCATCAATTAAGGAACAAGTGCGCAACGAGATGCAAGAAGAATTCAATGCTTGGGCGAAGCAACTGAACTTGCCGGGCTTGCCTTTCCCCTCGACTACACCGGTCGACTCATGTAGTCACCCACAAGGACAAGGAGAAGATGAGATACATGGAGACGATGATGAGATACATGGAGACGATGATGAGGTAGTTTCATATCTATTAGTTTTGGCATATTAAGTTACATGAGATCTAAGGTGGCATTATTAACTTACCATTGCAGGTTCGTACTCCTACACATGCGGACTCGAGGGAGCTTCATAATCCAACACCGATTGACTTTCCAGATTTACACGTAATTTGTTTAGTTCTTTGTAAATGTTCTCGGTTATGTTGGAGGTGTTTGAGAGAGTGACCATAGTCGTACTATTGTCTGCTACAGTGTGCGCTGGGTGATAGTATTAATTACTATCGAATTGACAAACGTTGACTTGATAAGATAGCTCGATAAATATAGAGAAAAAATGACTTTTAATTGCATTTTAATTTTAAACTAATCTCTCACTAGGATAGTCAGCTCTAAATCAGCTTGTTTTAAACGTTGACTTGATAAGATAGCTCGATGTTTCTTCGTTTCTGTTTTCGGTTGGCTGCTGGTTTGCCAGGGTTCATTGTTCTGTTTTGTTGTGCTGTTGTTGTGCTGGCTATTTCTGTTTTGCTGTTGTCTGCTATGTCTACCTCTGCTTGCTGTGTCTACCCCTGCCTGTCTAATGTGTGCCTGTGTCTGCCTGCTTCTGTCTACTGGTTTTGTATGTTGCTTCTGTCTGCTACTGCTGCCTGCTACAGTCTGCTGCTATCTGCTTCTGCCTACTGCTGTCTGCTTCTAATCTGTTGTGTTGCTTGCTGTTGTGCTATTTCTGTTGTTGTTGTTGTGCTGCTGTTGTTTTTGTTTTTGTGCTGCTGTTGTGATGTTTCTGTGATGCTGCTGCTTTTGTGTTGTGCTGTGCTGTTTCTGTGTTGCTGCTGTTTCTGTGTTGCTGTTGTTTCTGTGCTATGTTGTGCTGTTTCTGTGTTGCTGTTTCTGTGTTGATGTGCTGCTGTTTCTGTGCTGTGTTGTGCTGTTTCTGTGCTATTTTTGTGTTGCTACTGTTTCTGTGCTGTGTTGTGCTGTTTCTGTGTTGTTTATGTGTTGCTGATGTTTCTGTGCTACTTTTTCTGTGCTGTTGTTTGCAAGCTGCTATGTTGCTGTTTTCTGTTTGAGTGTTGCAGTTTTTGTGTTGCTAATTCTGTGTTTGCTCGTTGTTGTGTTGCTGTTTGCTGTTTGAGTGTGTTGCTGTTTTCTGTGTTGCTGGTTGCTGTGTTGCTGGCTGCTTCTCTTTGCTGTGTGTGTTGCTGTTTGTTGTTTGTTGTTTGAGTGTGATTTCAGTTTCTGTTTGCTTATTTGTGTAGGTGAGTTCGGTGTTGTGGTGTTAACTAGAAAAGTTTTTTTCCATTGCTTGTTTTGTTTTCGGTTTTGTTTGATTGTTGGTGGATACTTGGCCACTTGTGATATGTTTGGTTCTTAATTATAAGTGATCTTCCAAATTGGTGTAGGAAGAGACCCGTTGTGCACTTCAACACCCGGGGCTATCAAACAGGGGACCTTTGCAGTTGGTTGCGTATGCTAATGCGTGCACAACCGACCAGTGGTACGGTCCATTCGCGACCGCTTAGGCCACAACATTACTCGGTCGGGATCAATTATGTGGTTGCGGGGTTCGAGTACATCCGAGTACCGGTGCCCGTAGAGGAGGATGGGATTACTACACTCTGGGAAACGAAAGGTAGCTTTGTGCAATGGCCATATGATTGGGTAAGGTTGATCAACGAGGTAAGATTTTGGGTTCACTCTTTACTCTATGCCCGGTTGTCTTCCCAAGAGTTGGATGGATTTATTTTCTAACCAATTGCGTGATTTGCTTTATCAGATTTCGAAGAAAAGCCAAACTTCAAAGAGAAGGAGGGTAGAGCAGCCTAAAAGCATTGATCAATCGGTGCCAAAGAAGAGAAGTGAACAACGGTCGGAGAGTGAAAAAGCGTCGAAGAAGAACTCTTCGAGAGGTTCAGCTATGCAAGCTACTCCACTTGTTGCAGACACGGTCCTTCAATCGCTCTCTAAAGATTTAACTTATCTACACAACCGTGTTAGTATGTTGCCTAGTGACACTCCCGTTCAAGTTGCACTACCTAAGGCATTGTTCCACTATGATACACTACTACATTTTTTATCTATTGCAACCCCCAAATCCGTTGCATTAGGCGTCAAAATCCGTGGCATTAGGCCTAATGCAACGGCCATGTACCGTGGCATCTGCTGGCGTTGCAGTAGGTCTAATGCAACAACATATGACACCTAATGCCACGGTTCCACTGATCCGTGGCAATAGACCAATACCTATTGCAACGGCATAACTTATCCGTGGCAATAGAGTACTGACTAATAATTATGATGAAATTGAACCTATTGCAACGGATAAAGCTAATAAATACAATGATAGGAGTACGTATCTACTGCAACGGATTGATCATTGGGTTTTTTTTTTGTTAGGATGGAATGGTAATATAATATTAATTAGTCGGTACAAATCTAAATATACTAAAATAAACAAATTAAAGTATCATTTATATATAATAATTATAATGCAAAATACGTACATTACAAGATATTACTTGCCTATTTTTGGTATGACATACCCTACTAATAATAAATAAAAGTTAGATAATTAATTTGATCGTCCAAAATACAAATTGTCAACATATACATAAGCCGAAATATCCAAATCTTCACAAAGCCGGAACTTGAATAAGAGTCGCCAACATATATGCACCATTTGTTAGATGGCTAGTCACTATACTTCCGCTCCATTTGACTCCCCATGCACCTACACGTAAAATTGAAAAAAATAAAAGAAATATAATTAAACTAAATTATAAATTATAATAGACCAAGGCCACAATCAACATAGCTCAGATTATGGTTGTTTAAAAGATGGCAGTAAAGAATTTTTTTTTTTTTTTACACAGAAAGGAAAATATTATTAATTTATAGTGGCAGTAGCCACATTAATTACCAAAAGATAAGCATTCCAAGTCTGAAAAACAAAATAGCACCCCGAAATATAACAAAGTACTAGCTAAATAACCAACAAGAAATAGAAATAAGTAGTAGTCAAAAGTATTCTGGAATCAAAAGCACCAGATTCATGCACTGTAGGTGAACTAATTAAGTTGCCACCATTATTTCTGGAAGGGACACATTAGGAAAATTGTTAGAAGTGTGCACCTAAGAGAAGCTAAAAACTGTAAGTCTGTAAAGATGCCAAAATTTATACCAAGAATTTCCTTATCATTCTTCTCCCATAAAAAAAAAAAAACAAAACGGTGCAGAAAATTAATGCCCCCGTACATTGCTTAAATTTTTTTTATACTGCGCCTGATTGTGACCAAAAACAGTAACAGGGACAACCCAGCTAACCCCCCCCCCCCCCCAATAGCCTATGTCTGAGACTCTGAGGAACACCGTCCATGAAAACGAGTCTAGTGCCTCTCCATTAGCACAGCACAAGGACACACATAAGGAGATAACACGTAGCCTTCAAGCCAAAAAATTCTCACAAGTATTAAGTTTCTTCAAACATGCGTATACAGTATACACATACCCTGGCATGCTATTAAAAAAGGTGGAGCTTTTTCGAGTATTAAGTTTCTTCAAACATGCGTAACCTTTCTCAAAAAGGTGGAAATAGGAAAAAGTTGAGTGTTAGGAATTGGATATAAAAGGAGCAGAAGTAAATAACCTGAAGAACTAGCTATCAAGTTTGTATGCTCCTTTCCAACTCCCACTCATAAAAAAATCCTTCTAAACCGAAAAATCCCGTGCCACTACTTCCTATGGGATGTCATTAGCAGTCAAGGTGTTCTCAAAGATCGAGGCCCCTAAGCAATTTAGCACTGAGGTTCGTAATTAGGCAACATTTTTTTATCAGATCACTAATTTGTTGTGTAACTCTATATATTAGGACTGGATTACTTGCATCATGGTTGCAGCCCGCCTATAGTTCATAGAGATGTGAAAGCCACTAACATTTTTCTAAACAAAGAATTTCGAGCAATGGTAGCTGATTTTGGGTGGTAAGAAGGGGGTTTTGGTGCTTCTTACTTGGTTGGACAGGTATTTGTAGGGAGTTTCAGTTTGGAAGATACTTTTGGGATTAGCATGAGACTAATTAACTTTATGTAATTATGAATTATGTTTCTTACTCTGAGAAATGATGTAGTGTGTAGTTACATTCCTGTTAGTCCTAATCTTAAAACTGCAGTTCTGATTCCTAAAAAAAAAAAGGCGCATGAAAAAGGCGATGTTTACAGCTTTGGGGTTGTTCTATTGGAGCTAATCACAGGGAAAACAACAATAGTAAACAGAGATGATGAGCGCAGCTATTTCAAGTAAACAATACAAATCAAGATAGACTAGAGTTTGGGCAACGAAAAACAAGGAAAACATAAAAATACTTGAAGGCCAGTTGGATTATGCAGTAAAAACTATAAATAAAGTTGGCTATATAAATAGTTTTTGACAATTTAGAGATCCAAGTTTCTGACTATTACATGAAAGACAAATAAAAAAACAGTGAGACAAAAGAAGCACAATCAATATTGGGTAAATGACATTCAATTTATCATGCTATTTTGTCATCTTATTAACTAAATATAGCTTCATTATGCAACCTATTAATATTAAATCAGAGTTCCTTACTGTCCAAGATAAGAGATATCAAAGTGGATTAATTAGCTTGATTACATTCATTTGTTCGTTTAGGTCAAGCACGCACATGAGCTTGAACCATGGCTATAGCAATTAGAAAAAAGTAATAAACTTGGATCTCTAATGTATGAATGAACAAAATAAGCCACCCCAAATCAATATTCAACTTCATCCCAAACACAAAAGCAAAAACTTCAAATTTAATTCTCAAAAACGAAAATTTGTTGTTTACCCTTTAAAATTCAACAAATGTAGAATAGGCACACCCTCACTAACTTAGGACGAGAAACATAAACAAATACTCAGATACATCAACGAAAACCAAAACAAATTACCGAATTTGCAAATGAAGAGCTAGTAATTTGAACAGATTCAAAATAATATAGCCAACCAACCTTAATTTTGGAGCATGAACTTGCTGCCCTTTATTACTTTGATTTTTATTATCTACCCAACGTTTCCTGGTTTGGTTCCAGAGATAGAGACATGCCAACAACATATTAGAAAATATGAGAATGAATATAAAAGGAAAACCAGAACAAACAAGGCTAATGTGAAAAAAATACAAAAGAATTGACAGCACATATGAAAAATGATAGTATATGCACAGATTTATATCTCTATCTAAGTTCAAAGTCTGCAAAACATATCAACAAAAAACTTCAGATACACAAGCAATCTTTTTCATAACGTAACAACCAAAATGTCAACTAGAACTAGAATATAAGATTCAGCCAGCATATAAAGTGTCTTCACATCCTATTGTGAAATAAGGTAAGGTGTCTACAATAAAGCAAGAATCATGACAAAATATTTACAGTGACCAGAAGAGCCACCAAAAATCAAAAGAAACTTTATAATCGATTCAATACCGTTATTTGGTCAAGTTTGCTTTCATGCAGCATTGATGAAGCTAACGCATTGTTTACATAAAAATAGTTTTTATAGTATCATCACGTCACAGGAACAACATCATACCATGCAGAAACTTCACATCAAAATCCCATAATTCTAAACAATACTCTTAAAAATTTGATAACAAGAATAGAGGCAGCTTGATCTCATACACTCATACGACTAAGAAAAGAGCTATACATGAAGAAGCAGATATTTCAAACTGAAAAAATAGAACTCAATCATCAGAGACAGAAGGAATCAATTAAGCAAAGCAGCATCATGGAAGCTCAATTCTCCGACTAGTCATTATAACCCACAAAAAGAACTATTAGTTTTTAAGATTGTCCAAAAGCCCCCCCCCCCCACACATACACAAAGGGGCTTAAAGAAAACAAAGAGAGTATACTTATCAGTTGAAGTCAATATCATGGCCCACGACATATAACAGCCCATACTAAAATTTACACATGCAATTATGAATCTAATTATTAATCTTATGTTCTACTGATGAGGTTTATTGGGGCTAAGTGTCTAAATCTAATATTGTATGTTATTGGCGCTAGGTGATGCATGCAACTGCATTCATGATACTCAGTACTATATTATGATTCATTAATTTATTTTATTTTATTGGCAGGTAAGAATTAAGAAGGAAACCTTTTAAGCCAAGGTTATTTATATTGAAAATGACTTGGTTCTACTTGTATGAGGAAGGTGGCCTCAGCCTTTAGAAATTTGACCTTAGGGTTGGTCGTTTTCCTTACCTCGGAAAAAAAGAATAACTAATGAAAATACAAAAATAATATTACGATTTTATAAATGTGGGTAGATAATAGCAGTAAGACAAAAATGGTAGCAATAGAGAATTATTGGGGCAGTTTGTTTAACAGAAGAAGAAGAGTTTGATTCATCCTCATGGACATTCTCGTCTTGGTCTAGTAACACAATGGTGGACCAAATTTCAACTCAAGAATAAAGCTTTTGTTGCTTTCAAATCCCAGTTACCCTATGCGTTTATTTGAAGTTGCCCAATGCCCACCACTAATTTCAAATCTCTGAATACTCTGTTTTTTAGCTTCTTTCACCTTCTATCAAATTAATAATCTTACACTTGGCCCACGACTTATCAGTTGGTTAACAGATTGAGTTGTATACACATGCAATTATGAAAAAACAAATTTCGGCCACCAATTATAAAAAATAAATAGTTAGAAACTTGGATCACTTAAGTCTTACCCCATGAACCAAATCAGCCACCCCAAATCAATATATCTTCTTATCCATTTATATGAAATTCCCCCCAAAAAACCCCAATAGACTACTCAAATACAATATTCAGTACTTCTAGGTTTCAAAAATAAAAAAATAAAAATCTCAATTTTGCTAAACGAAACCCATAAGCCGTTTAATTCCAAGAGTTACCAAAGCATAAACTTCATCTTCCATGGCATCAAATACAAATTCCCAAACACAAAAGCAAAAACTTCAAATTTAATTCTCAAAAACGAAAATTCGTTGTTTACCTTGAAGAGAATTTCGAGCAATCAGCTCAAGGAAGGGACATGCAACAATGAAATTGGACCGTCTGTACCGCTTGACTGCCGCCACCACCGCCTGACTGCCGCTATCAGCCACCACCTTCGTCTTTTTCCTCTTCGAATTTTTGACTGATTTTTTTTCGTGATTTTCTGAGAATAGGTACTGTGAATTTCTGGAGTTGAATGTGAGATGATGGGGAAAATAGAGAATTGGGGGAAATTGAGAAAATGGAGAATGGGGGGAAATTGAGAAAATGGAGAAATTGGGTGAGAAATCAACTGTGAGTCTGTGAGAATGAGTGGAGAACGAAAATGGGTGAGAAAATTGGGTGAGAAGATTGGGTGAGAAAATTGGGGTAAACATACATCACGTGTGTTTGTTCAAAATTTTGGTGAAAAAATTAGAGGGAACAATGCGCGCTTTATCTAAGCTAAATTTTTCATTTGATATAATACCACCGTTGCAATAGCTTTTATTTTTGTTAAAATAGCTAGGCTATTGCAACGGTTCTTTAGAGCCGTGGCAATAGCTCTACCTCTAAGAGCATTAGTTTTAACTCCGTGGCAATAGCCTACTCTATTGCAACGGCAATAAAAATACCGTTGCAATAGGCTATCTATTGCCACGACATTTGGATAAGGCGTTGCAATAGCTCATTTTGGGGCGTTGTATTTGATCGAAAATGTAGTAGTGTGATGACGATGCAATTGCATGGCTCAGCAAAGAAGATGTGAAGGAATTTCTAAGTGGATCAATGCTTAACATTTCCCTCATTCAAACATTCATGAGGTAATTCAATACCGCTCAAAGTATGTTATTCAGATTAGTGGTGATTGTCGTTTATTTTTCCATTAATATTCTATTATCATGCATGCAGAGCACTACAGGAGCACTTACGTGACATTGATTCTCCGTGTCAAGTTGGGTGGTTATGCCCCGAGCAGATCTCCATTACTAGAATCTTAGGCAACCACCCTGACGTGTTGTACTATGTTGAACGGAGTATCAAGGAATCAGTGCATGCGGGAGACAAGTTCATATTCGCCCCATGTTATGAGGACACTACTACATTTTTGATCTATTGCAACCCTCAAATCCGTTGCATTAGGCGTCAAAATCCGTGGCATTAGGCCTAATGCAACGGCCATGTACCGTGGCATCTGCTGGCGTTGCAGTAGGTCTAATGCAACGGCTTATGACACCTAATGCTACGGCACCACTGATCCGTGGCAATAGACCAATACTTGTTGCAACGGCATAACTTATATGTGGCAATAGAGTACTGACTAATAATTATGATGAAATTGAACCTATTGCAACGGATGAAGCTAATTAATACAATGATAGGAGTACGTATCTACTGCAACGGATTGATCTTTTTTTTTTTTTGTTGGGATAGAATGGTAATTAATATATTTATAATTAGTCAGTACAAATCTAAATATACTAACAGAAACAAAATAAAGTATCATTTATATATAATAATTATAATGCGAAATACGTACATTACAAAATATTACTCGCTTGTTTTTGGTATGACATACCCTACTAATAAAAAATAAAAGTTATATAAAGCATTTAATCGTCCAAAATACATATTGTCAACATATATATATATATATATATATAAGCCGAAATTTCCAAATCTTCACAAAGCCGGAACTTGAATTAGAGTCGCCAACATATATGCACCATTTGTTAGATGACTAGTCACTATTCTTCCGCTGCATTTAACTCCTCATGCACCTACACGTAAAATTGAAAAAAATAATAGAAATATAATTGAACTAAATTATAAATTATAATAGACCAAGGCCACAATCAACATGAGAAAAGTTATGGTTTGCAATATACCAGTAGAAAGGCCAGATAGTAAAATCGAGATCAAAGACAACCAATTTGGGAAGAACTTGGAACAAATTTATGGTTTGCAGAACTTCTGTTTTGACCCTTTCAAAGTCAAAATTATTTAACAGAGCTATTATACATATATAACAGGATATCAACTTCACTAAGAGAAAGAAAGTAACAACGAAAAGGTAAATATGCAAGATTTACTTCATTATCCCCCTTTACATACTGCAATATAAGACCCTGTCCCCTAGATCAGCACTCCAAGGAATTAAACAAATGATAAGTTAACTTGGACAAGATACTCATAACTAGATCAGTATTTAGTAATTCTTAAGTACAAAAAGGGAAACAAAAAAAAAATTGACTTGGCCACAAATCCATAGAAGCAAATCATCGAGTCCTAGTCATTCTCATATGCCATATTCACTTTTCCCAGACAACCAATCCTAAAGCTAGGATTTGCAATATTACATAAATAAAAGTTACATCAAAGAAACGTTTAAAACCTAGGCACAGCTACAGCTACAGCTACAGCGTCACATATTTATTCTTACATAAATCACAATATGGGGAATCAAGCCAAAATTTGATTAAATAAATATAAGGGAGCAACCCACAAGATTCAAGATTAAATAAATCCAATGCAATAAAGACCCACCACTTGTCTAAGATACTCAACAACCCTTATAAACTTTACCAAAATCTAGCAAAGAGCATATAATCTAAACATGACCCAACCAAACAGTAATGTCTTATGGTCAAGTCTCCATTACATACAAGAATCAAGTAAAGAAAAAACTAATCCAGGGAAAAGGAGGCAGGGGAGAGTTATACGGTTAGGACTTGTGATTAGGGCATTCGTGAAAAAATATTTAATGTTGCACAAAGACTAGCATTCTGCAGTCCAACACACCAAGAATGAAGATGCAGGCTCTCCAATTTCCAATTTTGCTCTTGAGGACAGGCTTCCTGAAAAATCTAGTGAGCCATCTCCAGTGGTTAAATTACAATGCTCCTTCTACAAAGATATATACACAGATCAGGAGCAGAGAAGTAGTCCTTCAAATCAGCAAAGCTTTACCAATACTCTAAACAGTTGACATCTCAGAAGAGTCGATTCTGGATTCAACTCGAACAAAGTAGATATTTAAAAAATCTTAGCTTATAAGCTGCCATTGTCAATGGCTAGCAGGCATAAGAAGAAAATATAAATAAGTCCTGATTACCAGTTCAGAAATTTGGCCGTCCAAGTTGTCTACTAGATTGACACTTTTCAAAGGACTAATAACTTTATCTAACAGGATTAAGATTGATGCATACTTCAACATTCATTCTTGCTGAAACAACAAAACTCAAGAATTCTACAAGTCAAATGTCTCACTGGCTCATTTAGCTTGATGAAGGAATATAAGAGCGGGTTTTGCATTATACATGAGCCATACAACTGAGAAAGTTTATAATCGGATGCAGGCAGCATATGAGATTTGGGTTGACAAGGCCATCTCATGCAATATTTTGCCTGGCATGAGCATGAGCCAGTCAAAACTCAATAGTCCTACGGAAACAAAACCAATATTCCAAAAGCAGTAGCTGATTATCAAGAGTATCTATCTTCTTGAGCTTGAGGTAGTCAGAACTCAATATTCCTTCTAAAACCGTCCCCTAAAAATTGCCCCATTTCCGTTTTTGACCATGGGGTCCAAAACTTTATTCTCACATACAATACAATTGGCTCGACCACTTTTGCCTCGTATCCATCAACTCCACTCAACCAAAAAATAACAAAGTAATTAATGTCTTAGGGACAAACAATTAAGGACGGAGGGAGTAGTAATCACAGTGAATAAAGAAAACAACATGAATACTTTATACTTATAAGAATAAATTATTTTGAACACTGCAAAAACCATATCTTTATCCCCTATATCTAATCCATAATATCTAAGCAAAAATTTCAATAAACAAACATAATCATTACAATTTCACTATTAAGGTAACAAGAACATGATGCTAGTCTCTGTATTTTGAGATATTAGCAAGTCCACCAACAATGAAACTTGTCAACCACAATTAATACACTATCAGATAATTAATCGTGAAAACACTATAATTTGCAAATGTAAACCTGCCCTTCCATCACATTCACTGTATGACAATTTACTACTAAAACTCGTTGCAATAAATTCTCTCAATCAAACCCGGCCCCAAAGCATAAACTGAAATATGAAAAGTGAAATGGATTAGAAAAACTCCACAAGTAACAAACTTTTCTTTCCATGTAGTCAATACCTAACAAGAGGTGACGAAGAGATGTAATTTACAAGTATACAATTATATGTCATGGCAAGGGAACAAGATTGCCACAGAGAACACAAAGCAAACAAAATCCCTCTATGCAGCACAGATACAGAATTTGAAAAAACATAGTCAACATAAACGCCACTAATGGTTGCTCTCACGCCTATAGAATTTCACGACACCTATTATAGGGTATAATATAACAATCAAAATTAAAAAAATTACATGAAAAAATCAAAATAGAGAATAATAAGGAAGAATTAGGTACCTAATTTTTGTGAAGATTAGGAGGAAAGAGATAAAAGGTTGAAAGGAGAAGAAGACTACAAAACAACGAAGATTAAAATTGGGGATTAAAATCGAATAATAAGCAATTGATCTTGTTTATTATTCCAAATGAAACATTAAAATCTAAAAAATAGGGTTAACAATCAAAATTTCAAATTGGGGATTTCGATAATAAGAGCAAGATATACTAAATTAATTAATTAAGAGTATAAGACATTAAGACATACCATTGTTGCATCGAAGACGGCCGACGGTGTGGCAACAACGACGGCCGAGTTCCTGTGAGGCACTGAGGCACGACAAATCATGGGCAACGGTCGATCTACTGGACTACAGGAGGCCAGTGAGGACTGAGGTGTGAGGCAGCGAAGAACGAAAGATTGGAAGAAGCGACATACTATGTACCGCTATCAGCCACCACCGCCTGACTGCCGCTATCAGCCATCACCTCCTGACTGTCGCCTTCGTCTACTTCCGCAGATTTATTTGCTTATTTTCATGATTTTTTTCGTGATTTTGAAGCAAATATGTGAATGTGAGAAGATGGGGAAAATTGAGAATTGGGGGAAAATGGGGAAAATGAAGAATGGGTAGATTGGGTACTGTGAGAATCCGTAAGAAGGGTTGTGAATAAACACATTTTGTTCAAAATATTTGGTGAAAAAATTAGAGGGAAGAAATGCGCGCTTCTAAAATTTTCATGATACAATGCATACCGTTGCAATAGCTCTCATTTTTGTTAAAATAGCTAGGCTATTGCAACGGTTCTTTAGAGTCGTGGCAATAGCTCTACCTCTATGAACATTAGTTTTAAATCCGTGGCAATAGCCTACTCTATTGCAACGGCAATTAAAATACCGTTGTATTAGCCTTTATTATGCCGTTGCATTTGGTCAAAAATGTAGTAGTGGGAGTACGTCTAACCATGTCAAATTCATTTGTTTCCCCTGATTATATGTTTTACATGGCTAATAATTGATTTGTTTGTCTATTGTGAATTTATGTAGTTTGCATTGGACCCTGCTGGTGATTTGTGTTTCCAGTAACACAATCTTCCTTTTTGATTCAGCTCGATTGCCTCATCCAAAAAAGCTCCTCGTGAAGTCCATACTGCAAAAGTAAATAAAGCTACCTAGTGTTGATTATCATTACCTAACTCATTTTTTACTCATACTAATCAAATTTGACCTTACTTTTCTATAGTGTTATGAAGAAGATAAATTGTCGAGCTCCACCAGGTCCCACATGGAAATCACCGATGGTAATGCCACATGATATTGTGATTTTTGTATTAAACAATGCGTAAAATGTTACTAATTTGCTATATATGCATGTTTGATTCATGTACTTTGTTCCTATGCTAGTGCGCACAACAAGATAACAGAGTTGATTTTGGCCTATACGTGATGAGATTCATTTTTGACATAGTGAGTCGTTGTACAGACACACTACAGCTTGATGAGGTATGCCATTGATTTAGTTTATTTGCTCGTAACATGTGATTTGATAAGAAATATAAGAAATAGTAGTCATACAGGCCTTACTTGGGTCATTTTGGATGAAAATGTGTCCTAAAACACTTGAATTGCTCCTTTCATGTGATTTTAAGCCCTAGGCGCCTATAACTAAGTAATAATGACATGTTATGAGAAAGAATGAGTTCATTTGACAAGAAATATAGGAAATAGGCATCCTAGTAGTCAAATAGGCCTTACTTGGGCCAATTTGGATGAAAATGAACCCTAAAACCCCTAAATTGCTCCTTTCATGTGATTTCAAGCCTTAGCCGCCTATAACTAAGTAATAATGATATGTTATGAGAAAGAATGAGTTCATTTGACAAGAAATGTAGGAAATAGGCATCCTAGTAGTCAAATAGGTCTTACTTGGGCCAATTTGGATGAAAATGAACCCTAAAACCCTTAAATTGCTCATTTCATGTGATTTCAAACTTTAGTCGCCTATAACTAAGTAGTAATGACATGTTATGAGAAAGAATGAGTTCATTTGACAAGAAATGCAGGAAATAGGCATCCTAGTAGTCATATAGGCCTTACTTGGGCCAATTTGGATGAAAATGAACCCTAAAACCCTTAAATTGCTCTTTTCAAGTGATTTCAAGTCTTAGCCGCCTATAACTAAGTAAATGAGAAAGAATGAGTTCACTTGACAAGAAATGCAGGAAATAGGCATCCTAGTAGTCGTATAGGCCTTACTTGGGCCAATTTGGATGAAAATGAACCCTAAAACCCTTAAATTTCTCTTTTCAAGTGATTTCAAGCCTTAGCCGCCTATAAATAAGTAATTGAGAAAGAATGAGTTCATTTGACAAGAAATGTAGGAAATAGGCATCCTAGTAATCAAATAGGCCTTACTTGGGCCAATTTGGATGAAAATGAACCCTAAAACCCTTATATTGCTCCTTTCATGTGATTTCAAGCCTTAACCGCCTATAACTAAGTAATAATGACATGTTATGAGAAAGAATGAGTTCATTTGACAAGAAATGTAGGAAATAGGCATCCTAGTAGTCAAATAGGCCTTACTTGGGCCAATTTGGATGAAAATGAACCCTAAAACCCTTAAATTGCTCCTTTCATGTGATTTCAAGCCTTAGCCGCCTATAACTAAGTAATAATGACATGTCATGAGAAATAATAAGTTCATTTGACAAGAAATATAGGAAATAGGCATCCTAATAGTCAAATAGGCCTTACTTGGGCCAATTTGGATGAAAATGAACCCTAAAAAATCCTTAAATTGCTCTTTTCATGTGATTTCAAGTCGTAGCCTCCTATAACTTAGTAATAATGACATGTTATGAGAATGAATGAGTTCATTTGATAAGAAATGCAGGAAATAGGCATCCTAGTAGTCATATAGGCCTAAGTAATAAATTTTTGCCTAACTAAACTTGTAAATGTATTTTTACATGCATAACCTAAGTAATTAATTCTAACATACTTTTTGTTTATTCCTTGTTTTGCAAGTTACAAAAGGGAGGTCCGTTGACGAGCAAAGAACTTAATGAAGTTCGAGACATGTCGTCCTTCATCACATTTAACTTGTAAATATCATTTATATTTGAACTTGTTAACTACATTATTGATTAGTATTGTTTGTAATTATGACACTTTTTTTTAATTAGTATTGTTTGTAAATAGTATTGCATTTGGGATTATTAATTAATATCTATGTATTGTTATTATTTCAATTTACAAATTATTATTATTATTATTGTTATTATTATTATTATTATTATTATTATTATTATTATTATTTATAATATTATAATAATAATAATAATTATTATTATTATTATTGTTATTGTAATATAATAATGCTAGAATTAATGCAGGATGTACAAGTTCTCATTATTATTATTAATATTAGTATTAATATTATTATTTATTGCCGAAAAAAAAACACAGTTAAAGGCACCAGTTCAGGCTTCAAACCATTGCCTATTGTATTGAAATAAAAAAATAATAAAAAAATAATGAAAAAAAGCGCGCCATTGGTAATTAGCACCGGTTAACCGGTGCCAAAGAGGGTATTTCGCACCAGTTAACCGGTGCTAAATCTTTAAATAGCCACCGGTTTTGAACCGGTGCCAAATCTTCAGAGATTTGGCATCCCTCAAATCTGGAACGGTTCAAAACCGGTGCGAAAAGGAGGGTTTGAACTGGTGCTAAAGACGTTTTTTCGCGTAGTGTATAATATACTTAAAATGGGGTCAAACGGTTGTTAGGAACTTAGGAGTATAATTAAGTGGGTCGTGAGCTTTAAATAAAGGTATTAGTATAATTTTTACCACAAAAACCTTTTTTTCAGTGTGTTATAACTATTGTGACATTTGCGTTTTAGGAAATTGTTGTAACTATAAATAAAAAACTAAAAAATTATAAAAATAATAATTAAAAAAAAACGGAGGAAGTATGTGGGTATTAGGAATAAAAATGATTTTTTTTTTTTGACGGGAAAAAAGATTTGGAAAAGTAAGATAGTATGTAAAAGATGAATGGGGGTAAGGAGAAATATTATAAAATGATAAAGGGGTCAAAAGAAAGAAAGAAATAATATATAATGTGAGTGGAGATTCTAAATTTGAAAATGGGGAACTTAAACAAAAACAAACGCTTTTGAAAAGTGGGGCGCTTAAAAAACCAAAGGGTGTATAAATCTTGTCATCTCTATAAAACTTAATAATTTAATTAACTTTTTTCTTCATCGGATATTCAGATAAAAATTTTAATATCGAAAGATAATTTTTTTTGTTTCTAAATTTTTATATTAAATCACTATTAAGGCAAATATTGTTCTTTACCAACAATCAAATACCCTATCTTGTTCTAGAGTATTAAGCGGCTGCTTCTCGGGTTACCGGTTTCAAATATTGATAACCTTGCTAACATAACAAACAAAAAATAAGGAAGTTTTCCAAAGAAAGTAAAACAAGTTAGATTGCTTGAAGAAACGAGTAGATAAACATATGACAAAAGATACAAATACATTCCATTAATTAAGGGATAAAGTCATGTCTACAATTGTATAAGTTGAAGGAGAGATTACCTCCATGATCATACAATTGGAAAAGATGAACGATCTTCAATACAAGCTAAGATAAACTAAATTATTTCTTGGCTGCTAAGCCAAGAGAAACTACAAAAGTTAAGAAAGTTTAAAAGAAATGAAATGCTTGTTGTTGATTAATTTGCTGATGTCCTTCCTTTGATCTTCATGCTTCTACTTATAGGCAAATTGGAGCGGTTATGGCTAACTCCCATGACTGTTGTGCAGTTATGCTTGTTGGCGTCAACTCTCTTCGAAAATTAAATTACCATTATGCCTCCAAACCGGCTCTTGTAGTATTGGGCCTTTTAGATAATAACAGCCCATTTTCCTTATATCCCTGCCAGTTTAGCCAAAACCTTTCACTGACTATAAGGTCCAATTTACTTGGTCAAAGTCAAGAAAAAGTCAATAAAGGTCAAAAATCCGATTTTTGGGTGTAACACTCACTATTCATTGTTTCAATTGAATTTAAATTCTCAAATCTAATTCATTAATTTTTCTTATGTGGTAATAACAATTTAATTTTAACATAATATATAACTTTTTTTTATTGGTCGAAATAATACTTTTTCTTATGTGGCACCCTAAAAACTCTTGAAAAGTATCTCCTTTATTTATACAAATAGATATTCGATAGATTCAGTATATCGCTACATAACGACCCAAATTACTTCGCCCCCATTTCATAGTGAATTGATAATATCATTGCCCTTTCACCTTTTCTCTCTTATACTCCTCCCAATAGCAACCCACAACAACCAATGTCACCAAGAACACCACCAAACATCTGCGACCCCTGCCACCACCACCATTGGAGCACAATAATCCACCACCATCACCACCACTACCCACCGAAAAAGCAAAAGAATGGTTTGACTATAATTGGTGTGTCCTGGTTAATCGGCCAGATATAGACAAACCGACTAGTCTAACCAATTTGTCTAGCGAGTTGATGACCAGGTCACATTGGTTTGTCTTACTAGTTGACTCGGTCACATCGATTTTGGTCAAATCGGATTAGTTGATTGATTATGGAACAGTGTACAAAGCCAGTTGGCCTACCAGAAAACTGGTTTGAAAAACTGGTCTGGCGATGGTCACAACTCATAATCATATTCCAAACCATATTTTTTGGCAATC